CATAGACCCCGTCAAATTGGTTTCCCCCATTTCCCCTCCCCTTTCTGAATAATAAAGTTTATTCCTCCTCTATTTCATCAACGCCAGCCATATACGGCTGATTCAACATAAAGGAGGCAAGACAAAACATAGATGAGGCAAGACAAAACATAGATGGCCTTTTGGCCAGCGGAAAATCTTTCCACTACATTTGCAGCGAAGCATGTGGATACGCGGCCAATTTTTCGCCATGCAGTCTCGTGCCCGTTCTGCCTTGTGTCGCATGGCTATCACGCACGATCAACTGATTTCACTTCATCTTCTGCGTTTGCGACTGCACAAGCGAAGATAGCAATGTACAGTCGAGAAGCACGAAGTCCTGAATGGCTCAATAATTAGTGATGAAAATCCACGTGTTTTCTTAAGGCATAAATGGCGAGGGAAGGCGAGGAAGAAACTACTCTCTTAGCTTCGAACTCGGTATGGCTGAGGGGCCCTTTAAGACGGAATAGCGCGGCAGACGATGGGGCCGTCTGAGCGACGAGATTTGTGGGCATGCGCTTACCCCCGCCCGGTTGGCAACTAGGCTTCTTCGTACGTCGCAGACGCTCAGTGAATTCGCCGCTCTCGCACGTCCGGGAAAGATTTGGGTGGCTGTTCTGCTGTTCCGTTCTGCTTGACGTCGTCGAATTTCCGTCGACGCCATCCAGAGAACGGACGAGCAGCGCCTTCGGAAGTGCCCAATAGCACACCCTTCCTGTTCCCCGAGAATCCCATTTCTTTCGTTGGAAAACGAATAACATTGCCTGCCCTGAGACAATCTATAGTCTGATGACTGACAGGACTCAATAAGCCCGCAGAAAGCGGGGATGAAAGTTGCGCGAGGATCTTCTGTTGGCTCTGCTTCGCATTGCTTATCGTGCAGTGTGTTGAAAAGTTCGCGGCAGCAAATAGTAAGGTGTTAAAGAATACCTAATCTCCAGCAGATAAAACAGTGCGTGAAAACGTGACCAGATGGCGTTATATAATCCCTCATATGCTATCGCTTATGCGAAAACTGTCACTTCTAGCGGTTGGCAGAAGAACGCCACGGCCTAACTTATCAATGGGTAGCTATATTCCATTCCGTTTGAATGGGGCCGCTGCAGTGCTCTTGCTTCAAAGTGAACGTTTTTTTTCCCTACAAAGAAGCTCTTTAACGTAAAATGACGCAAGTGTGATGGCTATACTCACAATTTTTTTCTCGTAAGCTTTCCCGACATCGGGAAATACGCAACAGGCGGGCAATTTAAACGCAGACCAACGATGTCTGAAAAACGTCGAAGGAGTATAACTACGAGTAACATACACAGCAAAGAAAATTACCTCCGAAAATAAAGAATGCAGCGAAGTCACCCAATATTATAAGTCATTTATTAAAAAATTCCGTCCACCTTTAAGAATAGTTGAGCCGATATAACACGTCTTTGGTGATACGTGTTATGTGGGATTTTGTTACTCGCTACGCATAACTTAAGTCAGCCTCTCCGCAGTGCCTTGTTGTTCATTATAGGCGTACGCCCCCGTCTGCGGCTGATTGCCTTAGGAGAGCTCATAAGTTATATGCAGGTGTTCAGGCTTAGCTGTGGTAGAAAAGTTAGAGACATGACGAACCAATAAGAGGGTGGAAAGAAAGAAAGCACCCTAATCAGACTGAAATTACACTTGTTAAATCTCACTCAATGCAGTCATGGCATACACAAAGTGAAGATATAAATATCAACAGGTAACAACCAACATGTGCCCGTCTTTGTATGGATAAGGCTGTATAGTTGTTGGTTGAATCCTGGCTGTGGGGACCATATTTTTATAGGCAAGAAGTGTAACTGCATAAGCGTACCTTGTGTTTTGCCACATGTTAAAAAAAAAACTTGTCACTCAAGTTCATCTCAGGTCCCCCTCAACATCGTATTTCACAATCCGCGTATTTCACAATCCAAGTGGTTTTCACACCTCAAATCACACGTTATATTAATTTTGATATCAATAACAATAAATAGGAGACTAATCATGTGAAGTGATGTATGTAGCATGAATAACATTGAAAGAAGGGGCTCAGTATTTCTGAAAGCAAAGTGACCTAACGCCACAATCGTTATGCAGCTTTGGAAATAAGGAAGTAGTCACAGAGTCTGTGTAACTGTTCGCTATTTATGCCTTGGTTATGGTGCGCATTGGTTGCTCTTCAAGTTTGTTTTGCATTGCCGTTTGTGCACATCTATGCGATTGTTGAAAATGTTGGTTTTACTGATACGTCCCGACTCGTACGCTGTTTTATTTTATACCGGCTGCGGCTTTGTGATGCTTAGAAATTCGGACCCTATGTTCTCTAAGTTGGATATACCTGAGAGCTAAGGAGGAGGCCATGCCCTGTTTTTGCACCAAAATATTTGCATTGTGCCAGTTTAAAAAGCACATTTCCTCATATATCCTTTGCTAAGCCAATGTTATGTGTTTCACCAATACTGATACGTTCCTAAACATATCTTTATTGGCGCATTCTTGGGAGGCAATTTGTGTTCGATAGTTCAGCTGCCAATAGGAGCGGAAAATAATTTCAATTTTTTCAGACAGTACAAGGCGCGTCAGTTCACAGTAAACAAAAATATTGCTCTAAATAGCGCAAGAAGCTAGTGATTGCAAGACAAATCCTGATGCTAAACCAAAATCATTGTCACCCACAGTATAAGCAAAAATAAAATAATCCGCATTCATTTTTCAGGACGAGAAAGAGGAAAGGAAAAGTGAGGGCAATTTTTGGCGTTTGTGAAACCAGATAACTCAGTAAACGCAGAACACACGTACGTAGGCCTAAAAATACCCATTTCTTTTCACTTTTAAATCAGCCATAGCGCATGGCGAAGAGAAACGGAATCGTATCGTTAATGCCATAGGGAGAAAAAAAAATCTCTGAAGACAAGGGCATTGCCAAAATTGAATTTGCTAGCAGTACTCCTACGGATCTTCGTATTGAGACACGCACTGCCGTACTTGTCGAACCCGTACACACGTGTACTGAACCACTCGACCTTAAAGCCCGGCTTGCAAAGAGAATAAGTTTTGTTTTGTTTTTTTCTACAGTAATAACCGAGCAGTCCATGTCTTCACGACCATTGAGCAAGTATGGTCTCATCTAGTGATAAAAAAGCCGAGCCCACTTATTTGACCACTGGAATATTTACCCAATATTTCAGTTGCCTGGCATGCTGTCTTTTTATTTTCATTAGAACGCGAGAAGGATTCCCTCGTCATTCGGTATATCAGATCATTAAAGCTTTTTTTTGTTTAATATCGCATCAGTGGCATAAAGATGACGCCTTTAGGAAGACATGGCTGAAATCGTGGTATTCCGTGCAAGCGTTTGGTGAAAATGTATTTCACCAAACACAGTGTTATGCCCAATCCCGCTAACGGTATATATACGTGTATATATAAGCACACGTACGAATTCAAAACAAAACATGATTAAAGTATTTAGTTGTTGGAAGTGTCACAAGTGATTTCCGAGAACACTGTGCGCAAGCAGCTTTTTTTTTTCAGGTGTGAAAAACATACCGCTGCTCCATAGGGATACAGCCGTCGTATGCTCATGCAACGTATTCCTTGTTTAGCTCACGAGTATCGAATGCAATCAACGGAAACGTCTTGCGACTCCTCAAGGACACTGTGTGCTGAACACGTCAACGAACTCAACTCAACAAAACCACGTTGCAGTTAAATATTACTGTAAAAAAGAGAACTATGGAGACTGGAGAGAATACTTATGCATAAGCGTGCAGAAGACGTTAGCAAGTAAGCAATCAAAGTTTAATGCAGTCATTAGGAGGTATAAAAATAAACACACATGATAGTTCTTGATATATATATATATATATATATATATATATATATATATATATATATATATATATATATATATATATATATATATATGTATATATATATATATATATATATATATATATATATATATATATATATATATATATATATATATATATATATATATATATATATATATATATATATATATAGTGGGAGTGATAATTCAATGGGCCAGTTAGTCTTCGTGAAGGTATGGGATATTGCACAACGGGAGCGTTGTCAACAAGGATAAATATATTTATTTCCCAACAGTTTCGGGAGGGGACCTCCCTTCATCAGGGGATGAGTTATATCACAACGGGAGCGTTGTCAACAAGGATAAATATATTTATTTCCCAACAGTTTCGGGAGGGGACCTCCCTTCATCAGGGGATGAGTTATATATAACTCATCCCCTGATGAAGGGAGGTCCCCTTCCGAAACTATTGGGAAATAAATATATTTATCCTTGTTGACAACGCTCCCGTTGTGCCATATCCCATACCTATATATATATATATATATATATATATATATATATATATATATATATATATATATATATATATATATATATATCATGTATGGACATTTCAATTGTGCGAATCCGTATGTTTTGTAAACTTATGCGTTGAGCGTTCACTGAGACTGAGTGCGTGAGACTTCTACTATGTACGTTTGTATAGCGTACTGTTCGTACTCTACTTGGCAACAACTATTCAAGAAAACAGAAGTAGCCAGTGCCCAGAATCGGCACCCACCTCTTTATATATATTTACTAAATGAAAACTACTAGAAAGGATGAAGGGCCACTGTCCTGCTGACAATCTGCTTTGCCGTTGTCTACAACAGCGCTTTAATCGAGCGTAAAATTGTAAGCAGACTTGGTAAATCAAATAGCGACAAAGTGAACAGCTTAACTTTTATTTTTTTCCTCACCACCATAGAATAAAAATGTTTTTACTGTATACTACCCATAAAAACCTGACGCACCAAAATAATATTGCCCATGTCTTCCCCACATATGTGTTCAGTCCTCAATTTTACGTCACAACGCGTGGGCTAGAGTAAAAATTTCCATCGAGGCGCGGTAGGTATCGAGCGAGATTAACACTCACCTGGGCCGGTTGACATGCGAGTAGTACTTGTCGAGATGCTCGAGCAGGCGTAGCGCTTCCACCACGTTGCCGCCCACTTCCTCGGGGTCCGCCCGAGCGAGCACGGCCGTCATCTGCAGCACCAGCAGGGCGACTAGCAATGCCAGGGACATGGTGACCGCCATGCGGCTCCTGCCGGCAGCTCCCATCAGTGCAGCGGTAGCGGAAGTATAGGACAGCAAGGGGCAACTTTCTCGCACTTCCTCAGACTTCTCCCCCCGTGTTTATGTACTTTTTGCTCGAGAGTACTTTGTCTTCAAGACGCCTATTTAGATCAGGATATCTTTTTTTCTTTATCTGTAACCTATTATTTATGCGAGTTTTCGAAGTTTTCTTTTACTTTTGCAGTTATTTCTCGGAGGATCCGCACCAACCCTTCCCCGCGATCGCGCGATCTCACAGCGCGTCTCGGCGTTCCGTACGTTCACGTATGTACAACGTGCGCGCAAGCTTCTTACTTTGGCCACGGGAAAGCGCTTCCCACAAACACCCGGTTTTATAAGGCGCGCGCACCCGCGTGCTCCCGGTCACGTGATCGAAGGATCGAGTCCGGGAGCCAATAGGAGCGGCGCCGCCCACGAAGGAAATGAATAAAAAAGGGAGGACGATCATCAACGAAGGGAGGTAGATCGGAAAGAGGAGCGTGGACATAAGCAAGCAGGGAAAAAAAGGGAAGAACAGAGGACGGGCCACGCGGCGGGCGCATTCGCCGGGATGTTCGAACGTGCGGTGCGCGCGCTAGGGATAGCGGGATTTCCCGCGGAAGGTATACGTCGCGCCGGTTTCGGTCACCGCCGGACCCCGCGGCGAAGCGCCGGCGTCGCTTCTGGCGCGGAGCGCTGCGGGAGCGATGAGAGGGAATAGGGTGTCGACGCAGACAAATGGCCTCGCCCCGCGTCCAATCGCGTCTCCACGCGTGCAACAGATAGGTCGCGCCGCTTCCAGCAACTGCGGGAACCAATATCCATCCCTTAGGTCGTTCTTGATGGCAGACGCTTGCCAAGTTATTCATTTCGTTTCCTTTTATTCCCCTTGTTTCCTATTTCTGTGGGCGCGACTGATATTGCCGGACTCGGCCGAATGTAGACGCGGCTGTCAGTGGCTCCCGTGCGCAAAACAATGTCTGTCAAACAACGCTCAACTTTTCACTCTTCCACGTCCTCCTCCTTTTCACGGTGTTCTTCTCGTGGCGGCCAAAACGGACTTACGAAAACGCGACTATGCGTCTGAGGAACCATACTCGGGGTGTGACATTTACTCACCTTTGTTTTCTTGAGTGCGTGCGTACGCCTCAGATTGCTATTATTACAGCAGAGGTGTTTTGGTCGAGGTTTGCCGTGTGCCACTGATGTAGTGTTATCATCACCACAAACCGGCCAAGCACTCGGTACAAATTGGTGAAAATGGAAACTGAAACGTAGCAAAGGTGGCATCTCACTACTGCCTGATTCGCACTAATACCGAATTAGCACATCGTGCGGAAACTTTCAGGACAACTACTTCAAGCAGCGAAGTCAACAGTACTATGCGTAGAAGTTTGCACGTAACTTGCAGCACAGTCAAGGTTAAGAGACGGTTCGAAGAAGCAAACATTAAATAGCAGCATAACGTTGCTCACACTAAAAATATTTCGCTCAAGGCAAGTTGTATAAGCTGTAGTAACTATGCCCGATTCAATGGTTCCGCAAGTTCTTCAGGCTTTTTGAGGTACACGTAAGTAGTGTGTCCACTAATAATTTACCTGGACAACTACCTTTTATATTAAGTCTACACATGCGCAAGTACATACATGTACGCATGCGTATACATGTATGTGTGTATAAGCGCCTACATATACACAAGCAAAAGTGAGAAACTCGGAGGAAAAGGGGGGCTTTATTGGAACAAACCAAACGCCCCCCCCCCCCTGCTACTCCACTTTTGTCGTCGTAAAATCAGAAAAGAAATTTTGTTATTGTGTCACTCTGGAATTTATAGTGAAGAGAATATTGAACATATTGTCCTCGCGTGGTTCAAGCCTTACTACGAAGGTTCACTAAAAAAAAATGCAGCACGTATACATGCGCCTTGCAAGCACGGTAAAATTGACACGGTGAGCCGGGTCGCCCAAATGACAAAACATGTGGGCAATGAAGCTTCGTCGTTCGGGCAGGCGTGCCCAACCATTGGTTCCAAGACAGAATCCATGTAGTGCCTCCCATATCAACGGTTATACATGACTATATGGGCAATTCTATGCCAAGTTTCTCAGACGTGGCGCTCTACCATCGCATATTCTGCCTATAAAATTTACCCCCTTTCCGTATACCCCTTCATAGTACGGCCGAATATTTTTGCTCAAAAACTTTTTCAAGGTCGTGGCACCCCCTCAAAGTTCGCTTGCTTTTGCCATATAGTGTATACAATAGAAAAATGTATGTAAAATCGATATTCGTTTTCAATACTTCGAAACAGCGCTTGAGCTACTACAGAGACTTTGTTTAGCTGTGCTACTGAAGCATTCGGAAATTATTGCGTTTACCTGGCAGTTAGGCCTTTTCAAAAAGCACAAAAATATTCAAAGTTTGCCATTTTTTATGTGAACTTTAACTCCATCTCAGCAATCTCAATATTATTGTGGTTTTCAGAGAAGCGTAATATTGTACAAAAATGTTTAGGAGCGAGATGGACTCCGAATGTTTCCGAAAAAAGAACTTTAGAATGACAGAAATATGCGATTTTTCTCACATTTGACCGCATTTTTCGTACTGGTGTGGCCAAAGTAAAACTTTTCGCGATGCGGCGTTTGATCGACGACTTGATGTTTAAGTAATGAACAAAGTTCAATCAAATTACTTCTTGTTTTAAGAAATAAAATAATTTTTGATGTTGGTCTTCAGAGCGTGACCTGCGTTCCTTTATTACCACTTCACCGCAAAGCACGCGGTCACTCTTTCGGTTAACACTCAATACAGGAAGCTTCAAGGTGTGAGATGCATGTAAGCGGCTTATGAATGGTCGAAAGTCTTGTTGCTTTGATGTCAAGGCCACGAGCATTGCCTTATGATGCTTAGCTTTATGATGCTTAGCTTTATGATGCTTATCTTTATGATGTGAGCTCGCTTGCATTGCCCAATGCGAAGTATGGACGCCGTTGAGCAGCTTGCAGTATCGTTCGCACATTGTGCTACAGGGCTGTCTGCACTACTGTCACACAGAGACCGACACAAATAAAACATTTTCTCGGCATGTCCTTCGATAGATTGTGACTGCCGCGTCAGTACAGTGGTGTGGTACTCGGCTGCAAAGTCGAGGCTCATGGTTTCAATGCCGGCCGCAGCGGCTGGGTTGCCGTTGGAGGCTTTTCTGCGCCAAAGTGACTTTTTTTAAAGCCCTGTCAGGCGGCGAAAAATTTAGGTTGACTCGCTGCCTACTCTCTGGGTACATTTGAGTTTCTTTTTGGTGCAATAATAGCAATTCTTTTTGTCATTTGTGACAAAGTACCCTGCTTCTAAGCTTTCCTGACGTGTCTTCCGACGCGCTAAACATTCTCACCTCGACAACAGCCGTTTGCGCCTCGATGTGCCCTTAGGCAGTGCGTGGCGTGCCTGCAAATTCTTAGTGTCTAAGTTGCTTCAAAGTTGCAGGCAAGCTGGGGTACGCGTGGCTATAACACACTGCTCATGCTCTCCTCTATCTGTGATGATGCTACACCCGAGCTTTATACTATGACGAGCAGCATGTGTTCACGGGCGAATGGCACAAAACGATATCCCCAGTTAGCTGTAACTGGACTATTCCCGTTCAACCAGATTTCAATAATGAAAGTCGAACCCGCATTAGGTGAACTACAAAGGAATGAAATGCAGTATGTGGCTTCGAAGAAAAATTGCTACAACGCTTATTGTCGCTGAAGATTGTCGCTGAATTTTCCAACATTATTTTGCCCCTATTAAGAACTCTATTATAAACTACTAGGCTTATATATGTTAGCGCCCTCAAGTTTCATAATTTCTTAATTTACATGCAGCATATCTGTGTATTCAACAGCCAGGAAGAAGGAAAAAAATATCTTGCTCTTGTATTCCTCTGTTTTTCTCTAATTGAAAACGATATTATTTACAGATCAATAATAAAGTTTACCTATGGCACCTATTCAGTTTTGTCTGGCTACAAATTTGGTGATAGAGTCAAGTGACGTGGCTGCTTTGTTCCATTTTCATGTGAAACGGTAAGGACCCGTGCGCCGTGCCATGTGCTTCGCCCCTTAATAAACACCAGAGGGCCGAAATTTTCTAAGCCCTCTACGACGGCGTATCTCCTAAGCACATCGTGGTTACCGAACGAAAACCCCCCAAGTTATTATTATTATTATTATTATTATTATTATTATTATTATTATTATTATTATTATTGTTATTGTCATTATTATTATTATTATTATTATTATTATTATTATTATTATTATTATTATTATTATTATTATTATTATTATTATTATTATTATTATTATTATTATATTATTATTATTATTATTATTATTATTATTATTATTATTATTATTATTATTATTATTATTATTATCGTGATTGCTGTTGTATGATGTTCTTTAAAGTCTGATGATATCGCCCAGTAAAGACAACGTATTATAAAAGCCGTGAAGGGAACGTAAACAAGTATAGAACAATAGCAAATGTCAAATAGGAAAGTGGGATAACGACTGCCGTTGTGCCCGACAATATCTTCATTGATGTCACGCTGCTGAATTTCAACCAATGCACAATGCATGAACACGAGTTGAATCACTTCGGAGCCGTGTGAGCAACAGGTTTTTTAGGTCTAGAAGTACTCCTGTCCAGCTCGTCACCATTTTGATTGGCACATTTTACGTAACCCTTGTTTTCCTTCCCTCGCTTGCGTAACGCGTTCTTGTTTTAAGCACTTTCGTTCGCTATTGCTGGTGTTTTTATTCTATTACGCAATCATTTGTTTGTTTTATTATCTTTTTTTTCGGTTAATAATGACGTTAGAGAAAGCTTTCAGTACGATATATTCGAGGGAATGGTCTAGAAGTACTACGTGCTGAAGCCGCAACTCAAGATTTCGAAACGCTGAACAGTTCGCTGAACAATCATGAATTACCAACTGGCCCATCTTTCCATGCTATCACAAGGGAGGGATAAAGCAGAAAGAAAACAAGAAAGTTCTTTTTTTCCTCCCTTCTCTGCCACATATGACGATGCTTATTTTCCGTAAAAAACTATAGTGTGTCGCGTTCAGGACACATTGGGGAGTTTTCGACTAGCGTACGCAAAGCTTGTGGGCGTTGCGGGCGTTGCGGGCGTATAGCGTTAGCGTTCAACCCTCTATGGCAGCCCGCGAGAGGTGAGCGTACGAGGCATGCACAACGCAAACGCAAAGCTTTGCCCAAGCTATTGATTGATTGATATATGAGGTTTAACGTCCCGAAACCACCATATGATTA